AAACCCCCCCCCCCCCCCCCCCCCATAGTTCTCCTTTAAGGTGCCACCAGTATATATATAAGGGAATCCTGCTCACGGACCTTGTAAACAAGTCGCCACCAGTTTATTTTTTTCCCCCATCGACAAACTTTTATTGGAGAAAAACAACAATTCTCAAATTTTAACATTTTGTGGTTACAGAAATTAAGTAAAACAACAAAAAACAGAAGATGGAAGAAGGTGGCTTGAGGTACCTAAAGGGATTAAAGTGCGGCCTGCGATCTTCTGATCACTGAATAGCATGCAAAAACATCAAGCACTACCAGACAGTGTGACATCTACATTAGAAAATTGTTACAAATGTAAATAAAAAGACATATTCAAGTAATAAGTAGGAGTCGTATTATAATAATAATAATAAAAAAGGAGTTGTATTACTATTTCTCATTATTTACCATTCATCATTGGTAATAGCAACAGAAAGAGGGGGTTGGGGAGACTGTTAGGCCTCATTCAAAACGAGAAATGGCCGGCACGTACAGCTCCGTGCACGGCCGTACCGAGCAGCTCCCGGGAAGGACAGGTGCTGGGTGTGATTAGTACGCAGCCCCCGTCCTTCTCTATGGGAGTAGGTGGACCATACGCCGCCCTACGCTCACCCGCCCTGCACGTCCGTGCGGGTGTCTGTACTCGTACGCTGATAGGATGGATCCTGTCTGCGCCCGAGCCGGGACACCCGCACCCGTACGGACCTGCAATCGGGGGGTGAGTATAGGGCGGCGTATGGCCACCTACTCCCATAGAGGACAGGGGCTGCGTACTAATCACACCCAGCACCTGTCCTTCCCGGGAGCTGCCCGATATGGCCGTGCACGCAGCAAGGGAGCTGTATGTGACGGCCGTTTCTCGTGTGAATGAGGCCTTAGAGTTCCTATCTACTCTGGGGACTGTAATCTCCTAAAAGCCTGCTCGGTACCTAGGAAGACGGCGCCAGGGTTGGATAGTTAAGCCGGCCATGGCGATTCTCTTCAAATTTTTGACAGCTTCCCGTATGGATAGAAGTCAAGCTTTGTAAATGTAGGATGGAATTTGCCCATTCTATCCAAAGCCATGATGAGGGGGGTTAAGAGGATAGCCAGTACTGTGCAATTGATTTTAAGGTAGGTATAGGGTTCTAGTTACAGCCAATTCAAATGAGGATTGTCACATGGTGGTTCGGAAAATTCCCATCTTTGCCTAAGGATCTGTAATGATCGATTAATGATATCCAACACGTCCTGCCAGCAGCGGGTCAATTTTGGGCATCTCCATAACATATGAAGGAGGTTCCCTTATGCCAAAGCACATCTAGGTCACAGCGGGGATCACCTGTTTCTTACCAGGGATGCTGAGGGTTAACAATGACATCTGACGCTGGCCGCACACTATGCAAATTTTGTCTGGTTCTTCGTGAACTGGACGAAATGCACACGAGTGGGTGGCGTTGTTGGCACCCTTTTGGCCAGCATCCCTTGATCACAAGGAGCCAGTTGGAAAACCTCTGAACGAAGAGAGCGGGCAGCCAATCAGCTGCCACCACTGTTCGGGTATTCTGATAGCAGCCACAGTCAGAATACAATGAGGACAGTGGGAGATTACGCAATCAATGCCCATAAGCTTTGATGGAGGAATATAATATATTTTTCTTATTCAGCCTTCAGGTTGAACGAAGAAATGATTACAATGTATGACCAGCTTTAGACAGAATTCCCCATTTAGGTTTAGCTCAATGTAACAGAATGGATGCTAACAGATGAGGAACACATTTAGCAGACATCCTTGCTGAATATGGTTCCCCTGGAGGGGTTTTTGCTTCCTTAAAAAGGAGAACTATGAGAGGTCCGTGCACGGCCGTACCGAGCAGCTCCCGGGAAGGACAGGTGCTGGGTGTGATTAGTACGCAGCCCCCGTCCTTCTCTATGGGAGTAGGTGGACCATACGCCGCCCTACGCTCACCCGCCCTGCACGTCCGTGCGGGTGTCTGTACTCGTACGCTGATAGGATGGATCCTGTCTGCGCCCGAGCCGGGACACCCGCACCCGTACGGACCTGCAATCGGGGGGTGAGTATAGGGCGGCGTATGGCCACCTACTCCCATAGAGGACAGGGGCTGCGTACTAATCACACCCAGCACCTGTCCTTCCCGGGAGCTGCCCGATATGGCCGTGCACGCAGCAAGGGAGCTGTATGTGACGGCCGTTTCTCGTGTGAATGAGGCCTTAGAGTTCCTATCTACTCTGGGGACTGTAATCTCCTAAAAGCCTGCTCGGTACCTAGGAAGACGGCGCCAGGGTTGGATAGTTAAGCCGGCCATGGCGATTCTCTTCAAATTTTTGACAGCTTCCCGTATGGATAGAAGTCAAGCTTTGTAAATGTAGGATGGAATTTGCCCATTCTATCCAAAGCCATGATGAGGGGGGTTAAGAGGATAGCCAGTACTGTGCAATTGATTTTAAGGTAGGTATAGGGTTCTAGTTACAGCCAATTCAAATGAGGATTGTCACATGGTGGTTCGGAAAATTCCCATCTTTGCCTAAGGATCTGTAATGATCGATTAATGATATCCAACACGTCCTGCCAGCAGCGGGTCAATTTTGGGCATCTCCATAACATATGAAGGAGGTTCCCTTATGCCAAAGCACATCTAGGTCACAGCGGGGATCACCTGTTTCTTACCAGGGATGCTGAGGGTTAACAATGACATCTGACGCTGGCCGCACACTATGCAAATTTTGTCTGGTTCTTCGTGAACTGGACGAAATGCACACGAGTGGGTGGCGTTGTTGGCACCCTTTTGGCCAGCATCCCTTGATCACAAGGAGCCAGTTGGAAAACCTCTGAACGAAGAGAGCGGGCAGCCAATCAGCTGCCACCACTGTTCGGGTATTCTGATAGCAGCCACAGTCAGAATACAATGAGGACAGTGGGAGATTACGCAATCAATGCCCATAAGCTTTGATGGAGGAATATAATATATTTTTCTTATTCAGCCTTCAGGTTGAACGAAGAAATGATTACAATGTATGACCAGCTTTAGACAGAATTCCCCATTTAGGTTTAGCTCAATGTAACAGAATGGATGCTAACAGATGAGGAACTTGACAATGAGACTGTCACAGGTCGGCTCAGTAGATCGGGAGGTGAGAGAACACATACCGGCGTTCACTCAACTCTCGATCCTGTCGCGGCTCTCTGCTGTGACAGGGGAGGGGCTGGATTCCCCTCTCCAATCCGCCAGCGCTGACTGGTGGATCGGACGGGGGAGGGTACAGCTGGCTCTGCCTCTAGATAGCCAGAGCCAGCTGTCACTCACGCGGCTGGGCGGATCTCGACATCGATGTCGGGATCCGCTCCTGCGTCTCAGTATACCGCGAGCTGTAGCTCCCTATATACTGAGCCTAGGGTGACGGGAGGACACTAGTTTGTGTCCTCCCGTTACCCTAAGGAGAACTATGGGGAAAAGCCCTGACCCCATAGTTCTCCTTTAACAGAAGTAAAGCTTCAAGCGCATGATCCTCTACTCCAAGTACTACCGGTTTGTGGAAAGTAATCCTCCCCAGACTCACCGGACGCTGCAACAAGTGCTATGCCCCGAAAGATAATGGTGTCACTTACCTGAGAAGAAAGCCCCACAGACGTCTCCTTTAATGGGGGTGTAGCCCTCGGACACATGCTGCGCGCAGTACTTCCCCAGCGATACATTTATATTATTCAGAGAACTTAAATCTGAAAATAAATTTAAAAGATTTTCCTTTACTTATAGAATAAATGTAAAGAGAGAATGTCCGGGCAAAATAAAAATAAAAGAAATACAAGCAAATGTATAATCCCTTAGGGGGTAACATCCATTAACACCTTCATGACCAGTGACGTACAGTGTACGTCACTGGCATTGGACCCGTTTAAAACAAACAGACTCCCGGCGGCTGTCTGTAAACAGACTCTGTTTACATTTGTAAAGCCGACTGTCAGCTTTACAACAGAAGCGATTCTCGTGACTCAGCTGCCGCCATATTGCTTCTACGGGCTGGTAAGCGGCGTCCTCCCCCTCCACCGTGTTTCCTGGGCTCCGCTGCCCCTCCTACAGGCCCGAGACCGGCTTCTCTGGTATCGGGGGGGTGGGGGGCAACTGGGGAGGAGAGCGGTGAACGTCTGTTTACGTCTCTTCTCCCCGTACTACGAGATTACATCACTTCAGGTCCCATCACTGTCAGTGCTCGGCTCCTGACGCCTGCGATCTGCACTTCAATAGCTTATTTCAAGTGTAAAGGTGACACCTGGGGTCTTTTGGACTGCCAGCATCAAACTTAAAGAGGACCTGTCACTGCCAATATGCTATCACATGGGGGGCTTGTAAGCCCACCCTATGTAATAGCAATTCAAGTAAAAAAACGAAAAACAGTTTTTAAAAATTATTAAATGAAATAAATGTAAAAATAATTGTAATATATATATATATATTTTTTAAAGTCCCCCGCGACCCATCGGGTGCGCCTACATATGAAAACAATGATAACGCTACACACGTTGGGTATCGCCGCACACGCCAGAGTGAGAGCAATAATTCTAGGGCCAATATTTATACGTATCTCTAAACGGATGACCTGTGGGAGCTTCCAAAGTGTCGTCTATGGACTTTTTGGGGTACTGAATTTTGTTGCAGTTTCACAGACGCACACAATTTTTAACCCGGGCATGTTGGATATCTATTTACTCGTTGTAACCTCACCTTTTAGATTTTATTTTGTAAATTTTTTTTTATATTGTGTTTTGTGGCATTTAAAGGAGAACTATGAGGGGGGAGGGGGGGGGGGGGGCTTT